TCGCTATTTTGGTAGGACATATACTGTATCCAGGCAATTGCAAGTAAACTGCGAGCCCTAAACCCTCAGCCATGACAGTCCTGAAAAACACCCTGAGCCCTAAACCCTTAACCCTCAACCCTACACCCTAAACCCTAAACCCTAAACCCTAAACCCTAAACCCTAAACCCTAAACCCTGAACCCTCGGTCCGAAACCCTCAGTCCGAAAACTCCCGAAGCCCCGGAGCAGCAGAAACTTTGAAACCCCGGCACGAAGCCAGGCGCCGGGCCGGGCCCACTCCTGCATCGCCCTGCGCTCGAGCTTCCCAAAAGCCCATCAGAGATTAGGGTTTAGGGTTTGGGGTTTAGGGTCTAGGGTTTAGGGTTTAGTCTTTGCTGTGATAGGGCGTGGAATCCGTGGAAGATGCTGTGAAGGTTAGGCTTTGGAACAAGCTCGAAAGAGCAGCTTTGGCCCGACTGCGGAAGGCCATCAACACTTTTCTCACACCCCACGCCGTACGAGGCGGCAAAGCCACCCAAACCTACCCCTTTTAGGGTTTAGGCCGAAACTCAAGGCGACAGTCCAGTTCAAAAAAACTTCTCCAGTTTCAGGATGTTGGGGGTTGGGTCCGAGAGGCAAAGACATGGTAGCCGGGTCTGTCCCGGTCTCACATCCAGGGAGATCCCAGGCGTCCCAGAGGTTACAGGGAAGGCTTTCCGGGGGATTCCAGGGGAGGCCCCAGGCAGGTCCCGCGCAGTTTTTGAGCGCCCCGGCCTGCTGGGGGGGGGGGGGGGGGGGGGGGGGGGCACTTTTGGAACGCGAAAAGTGCCGACAGTTACAAGGATGCCCGCCCTCGTTTGACCCTTAACAGCCCCCTATATCCCTGAATTAAACCCTAAACCCTCAAACCCCCATGAAAACCCCTAAAGCCTAAAACCAAAACCCACTACGGCACCACAGAGGGTTGTGGGGGGTTTGATGTTTGATGCTAAAACCCCTAAGGGGTGTGGAGATGGTGCGGGGGGCGTGGGGTGTAGGGCGCAGGGCTTAGGGTTGAGGTTGTAGAATTTAAGATTTATGGTTGAGGGTCCAAGGCCTAACCCACAACCCGAGCTCCAAAGCTCGGAAACTCCCCTGAAGTCTGAAGCCTTACCGCCCTCACGCCTAAAGCCCCGAAACCCTGAACCGACTCTAGGACCCTCTAGTCGACTCCAAGACCCTGAACCCCCTAGGGTTTAGGGTTTAGGGTTTAGGGTTTAGGGCTTAGGGCTTAGGGCTTAGGGTTTAGGGTTTAGGGTTTAGGGTTTAGGGTTTAAGTTTAGGGTTTAGGGTTTAGGGTTTAGGGTGTAGGGTGTAGGGTGTAGGGTGTAGGGTGTAGGGTTTAGGGTTCACCTCAAACCCGACCTCAGGGTTCCACAGAAGAGAGAACCCGAACTGACAACGCTGAAACGCCCTCAAACCTGAAAGCCAAGAAGGCCCACACCGTTAAGCCCTGTAAAGCCCGGGAAGCCCCCAGAAAACCCAACCCTACAAAACCATCAAGAACTTGTACAACAACATACAAATATAGTAGAGGCCCTGCAAAAAGAAAAACATAAACAATGATGCCAACGGCAAAAACAGTAAACGCGGTATGTAATAATAGTAGAAATAAAAGTGAATCGAAGCAATACAAAAATTGGAAGGTCTGAATGTCTTTAACCGGACCCATGATCATGTGCGCCCAAGGGGAGCTTGAGCGCTAGCGCCGTAGTCACGTTGCGTTAGTAAAGGTAGCAATATAGGGCCCTTAATAATTAGAATAGGGCTTCGGGGGAATTATAGTAGAAATTACAAAGGGACCATAAGGGAATACTATTAGAAAATACTCCGACCCTTATAGCAAATAAAAGAAATCACAATCATACTACAAGCCTAAACCCTAAACCCTAAACCCTAAACCCGAGGGCACCCAGCCTGCCCGGCAGCGCCCCCAGGATTGTCAGGAAAGCTGCGGATGCGGACACATTGGGGGGGGATCCAGGGGGATCTGAGGGTTTAGGGTTTAGGGTTTCGGGTTTAGGGTTTTTAGGGTTTAGGGTTTAGGGTTTAGGGTTAGGGTCAGGGTTTAGGGTTTAGGGTTTAGGGATCTGAAACTTCGGGACCCTTTTTGCAGGGCTTAGGGCTTAGGGACCCTTTTTGTGGGGTGTAGGGTTTAGGGTTTAGGGTTGAGGGTTTAGGGTTTGGGGTTTGGGGTTTAGGGGTTAGATCATCGGGCTGCCTAGATGTTTTCGTTCGTACACTCCTGACGGTTGCACTGCACAGCACAAAGTCACAACCCTCAGCCCCCTCACATCCGCCCTCAATCGGAGGCTTGAACACTGCAGCCCGAAACCCTAAAAAAGCCCTTCAGCGCCAAACCCTTAATAAACCCTTAAACCCTATGCCCCAAAACATCCTTAAACCCTAAACCCTTAAAACAGCCTTAAACCCTAAACCCTAGATTAACCACAAAACCCTAAGCACGAAATAAACCCTAAACCCTAAATTAACCTTTAAACCGTAAACCCTAAATTAACCCTTGAACCCTAAACCCCTAAACCCCTAAACCCCTAAACCCCTAAACCCCTAAACCCCTAAACCCCTAAACCCCTAAACCCCTAAACCGCTAACCCCTAACCCCTAAACCCTAAACCCTAAACCCTAAACCCTAAACCCTAAACCCTACACACTCCGAACGTGCGGCAACTTCCCGGCCTGGCCATGGCATTCCAAGGCTTTTGAGGGTTTAGGGCCTTTAGGGTTTAGGGTTGGAGGCTGAAGTTAGGGTTTAGGGTTTAGGGTTTAGGGTTTAGGGTTTAGGGTTTAGGGTTTAGGGTTTCGGGTTTAGGGTTTTTAGGGTTTAGGGTTTAGGGTTTAGGGTTTAGGGTTTAGGGTTTAGGGTTTAGGGTTTAGGGTTTAGGGTTTAGGGTTTAGGGTTTAGGGGGTTCAGGGTTTAGGGTTTAGGGTTTCGGGTCGCGGGTTTGGGGTTTGGGGTTTGGGGTTTCCGGAGTCAACCGTTGCACCGCTTTTCGGGTTGCTTAGGGGCGTTGGGCTGCTTACTTGAGTTGGGGTTCAGGGTTTAGGGTCTAGGGCTCACATCAGTGAAGTTTCACATAGGGTTTAGGGCTGGGCCTTCGGTGTTCCGATAGGCCTAAGGGGGCATGTGCAAGACTTCATGCGGTCTCTAATTTCAGGTTTTCCTGCAGCAGCTGGGGCACGAAGCGCAGGCCAAACTGCCTGTCACGGCTGGCAAAGGCCTCTGAACCTAGCAACAAACACGGAACCCCTCAGCCCTAAACCCTGAAATCCCCTACTATGGGAGTCGGAATAATTACTAATAGTGTTCCCTTTCTCGTCCCTTTATAAGTATACTACAATAACCCCCAAAACTTTGCTAATTACTAAGGCCACTATATTCAACCCGAACCCGAAACCTTAAACCCTAAACCCTTAACCCTAAACATCCTCATGCCTAAAGCCTGGCACGCAGGGCTTGAGAGACTCTTCGGGTTTACATCGAGGTTCTGGGGGGGGGGGGGGTTCAATTGCTTCTATGGTCACTTTCTCTAAAATGTGGTCACTTTTGGGGGTTAGGGCTTAGGCTTAGGGTCTAGGGTGCTAGGGCGGACCCTATCTTTTTTGGGGTTCCCAAGAAGAACTGACCATATAGAATCCACTCCATAACTCCCTCCTTGAAGGTTCATGCGTCGATATCAGTGGTGCTATAAGTACCCCTGGGCCACTGGGTTTGGGTTTAGGATTCAGGGCGGGCCTACTTGAAGGTTCATGGGTCGTTAGAAGTAGAGTTACACGTGGGGAACCTAGACCCCCGAAAAAGGGGATGAGGCTAGTCGGAGGGGGCCCGAAACGCTCTGACACTTGAACGCCGAGGCTCAGCCCGCAACTCCCGAACCCTGAACCCCAAACCGCAAACCCCAAACCCTAAACCCCAAACCCCAAACCCTAAACCCTAAACCCTAAACCCAAACCCCAAACCCTAAACTCTCTCCTTGTTGACGCTGTGGCACTGGCAGCTCAGAACTGTGCGCTCGTGTTCATTGCGCTCTGCAGATGCGAGCACCGGAGCACCACCGCATGGTGCCGTGTGGCGTTGCACTCAGCATTTGCACAACTGCCAGGCCCTAAGAAACTATTCTGGGTAGCGCTCTCAGTAAGGGTCCCTTTTTAATAATACGGCACCCTATTCTTAAAAAGGACCCCCTAAAAAGGGACCCACCTAAACCCTAAACCCCTAAGCCCTAAACCCCTAAACCCCTAAACCCCTAAACCCCTAAACCCCTAAACCCTAAACCGTAAACCCTAAACCCTAAACCATAAACCCTAAACCCCCCAATTTAGAGAGCCACCCTATTGAAGCTTCCGACCATGGGCGACGGCCTGTAGGGCCTCCTGGAGCACTCCGTCCACGGTAGTCCCGTCCTGCGCATCCTTGCTCAAGATCTCCTCAAGCTGCGGTGGAACCTACTTGTTCTCTTATGAAAAGAACAGTAGTCATAATAAAAACTAAGGCTAAGACTAAGACTAAGACTGAGACTGAGACTGAGACTGAGACTCAGACTGAGACTGAGACTGAGACTAAGACTAACACGAACACGAACACGAACACGAACACGAACACGAATACGAATACGAATACGAATGCGAATGCGAATAGGCATACGAATACGATTGCGAATACTAATACTAATACGAATATTGATACTAATGTTAAGAAGAAGAAGAAGAAGGGTACCTTTCTTGGACCGCGGTGAATTTGTCTTGAGAAGCCCTGAACCCAAAAAAGTGGCAAAAGGGGCACTGCTCAAAGGTTGCCAAGTCTCCTTGGCCTCGCCCCGAACCCGCTGGGCTGCACGCCGCTGCCCTCGCAACAGGACGCAGCTCTCCGGGAGCATCAGCCGGAAGCGGTAGTCGCTGGGGATGAAGTCTAGGGTCTCCTGAAAGTTTAGGGTTTAGGGTTTAGGGTTTAGGGTTTAGGGTTTAGGGTTTAGGGTTTCGGGGTGGGTTAGGGAGACCAGGGCAGTTAGGGCTTCTAGGGCTTCTAGGATGTTCCTTGCACAGCACAAGCTCCTCGCGCCCCTCCAGGAGGACGATGCGGCCGGCTGCGGCGGCCTCCTGCAACGCCAGCCGGGCAAAGGCCACGACCTGAGCCTGCGTTGACCTTACTGTTGGTTCGTAGGGAATGGGGGGAGAAAGGGTGCCCTCTATAATCCCCTTAAAGGGTAGATTATAGGGGGATGTAGGGTACCCTCTATAATCCCTTAAAAGGGTATATTATCGGGGGATATAGCGTACCTTCATTCCCTCATTCCCTCATTCCCTCATTCCCTCATTCCATTCCCTCATTCCCGCATTCCCTACTAACCAACAGCAAGTGACTTGGCCACCAGGGGGAGGAGCTCGGAGATGGGAGGATCCTTCAAGATTGTGTCCTTAATTTCCGAGACCTTCTTGTCGATGCCGAGGCCCTTGATTCGAACGTCGATGGTGTCCGAGCCCTCCTCCAAAACCACCTGCAACTAATTGCTTCAGAACCCCGAACTCTTCCTTATTAAGGGTAATAATAGGGCTCGTTATTTGTCGTATTCTTTTGGGTTCTTAAAGAGCCCTTAATAGGGGTAATACAGGTCTTATGATTTTGTTCTGTTCTTTTGGGTTCTTAAGCAAGTAGTAGCCTGCAACATGCCGACCCAGGCTTCCAAGTTCTCGGGCGTCAGGCAGGCCAGATCGAACTCATGGCCCTCCAGCTCGCAGTGGGTGACGGCCAGCAAGGTCAGGGCTCGAAAGCAGTTGCCATTGGACCTTAGGGGGCTTAGGGTTTAGGGTTTAGGGTTTAGGGTTTAGGGTTTAGGGTTTAGGGTTTAGGGTTTAGGGTTTAGGGTTTAGGGTTTAGGGTTTAGGGTTTAGGGTTGCCATTGGACCTTCAGACGCGACGCAAAGAGTAATCAGGGGCAGTATAGGTGCACTTCGCGGGACGAAACAACAGAAAGCCAGGGGAAGACTCTGTCTAAGACCATGCCAAAAGGCACCAGAAACCTCGTAAGACTCTGCCGGGGTGGTGAGGGGGAGAGGGCAATGGGGGTAAGGGTTTTGGACACGCCCAAGAAGGAACAACTTAAGCAACTTGAAGAGCTCCCTAGCCCTCCGCCGCCTAGAGGTCCGTTAAAAAGCAGCCCTCAGACTTCCCTAATAAGAATAATAATAGTAATAATGCTAATAATAATAATAATAATCGTAGTAATAATAATAATGATAATAATAATAATAGGCCTCCCTGCACCCTGAAGCCCCTCGACTCTAGAACCTTATCCCAGACGGGGTTTAGGGCTCAGCCCAAACCTAAACTGCTCAAACCGCCCAAAGCCTAGAGCCGAAAAGCCGCAGCCCAAAACCGAAAGGACTCAACCTGACCCAATCCTGAACCCTAAAAACTAAACTTCCCAAACCTGAACCCTAAACCCTAAACCCTAAACCCTGAACCCTAAACCCTAAACCCTAAACCCTAAACCCTAAACCCTAAACCCTAAACCCTAAACCTCCTGAACCAAGGCGCCACGGGATGGCCGAAGGGAGCTCGGCCTGCAGCTTCTTGAAGGTGGTTTCCTTCCCGGTGCCACTCTTCCCAACGAGGATGACCTTCTGGTTTAGGGTTTAGGGTTTAGGGTTTAGGGTTTAGGGTTTCGGGTTTCGGGTTTCGGGTCCCGAATTTCAGCTTTGCCGCTGTTAAAATCGTGAGGAGCAACCAAAGGTTTTCTAAACGACCCAAAGCGGCGACACAGCCCTCCGTCATGGGCGGAAGCTTCGTCACCATGTAGCGAGCGCGCTCATCCGCCTCCATCGTCGTGACGTCTATGTCCTGGTAGACGGGCTTCTTGCTCGGAGCTTTCAGCGCGCCCTCATCAATTCCCTTCTGAATGCCGGCCTGCAACAGCTCTGCATCCTGCTCATCACGCTTTACGAGCAGGTCCTCCTCAAATCTGGCCAGCCTCTCAAAGAGGTCACTGTCGGACAGGCGATCAATGATTGCATCTGTGACTGTGAAGTCCGATGAGGTAGACAACGTGCTCAGCGTTAGCACTGCCTCCTTTTGCGCGACACTCCGAAGGCAAACTCTCGAGGCCGCTTGCGGGGTACCTCTCTGGCTGTGACGCAGCGCCTGCCTTCTGCAGAGGTGGGCAGACAAAGCAGCGACCACACAGGGCAGTGAGGTCCTCAAGGATGCTTGCCTCCTGCCAGCTGCCTTTCCCCCACGTGGGTGTGCATGGCGCGTGTGGGGGTGGTCGCTCCAGGCTGCGCCTGTCGGTTTGACAGCGAGCAACATGGCGAATCGAGGTGGGCCAACTGGCCTGAGTGACAGACGGACGGGTGCTACTGGCTCATCTACTGGCAGCTCGCATGAGACGTGCAGCTTCAACAGCCATGAGCAAGGTCAATGCGAGCTTGCCGCAGCTTGACTCCTGCGATCGTGTTTCAGTGGGTTTGGTTGAAGCCTTTGTGCTCGTCATTATTTCTGACATCACTACTGTTGTTCATCATAAGCTCCTAATCCCTAAAGCCTCAACCCGGGGAGCGTCGGGGAGTCTCAGAACCCAAGGGGTTTTGCGTTTCGGGGTTTGGGTTTAAAGGGACAGGTAGGGCGTAGAGCCTAGGGTTTAGGGTTTATTGGCTAGTTGAAGCTTCATGGGCCACCACAAATAGGGAATCACATCTCTACTGTCGCGAGGGTTACAGCTTAACCATGGGCCTTCAGGCAGAGGCCAGCCACTTTTCGAACTACCGAATGAACCTGGGTTTGAAAGTTAGAGCAGAAATGGTTTCATAGGGCTTTTTCTATTTACAAGATAAACGAGGCATAGACAGATTATCTCTACAGAGCTTGGCTCAGCCAGTCCATGCAATGCGTCCATTCACGCCCCTAGGTGCGCCTTGCAGAAGAAGGCGAGCTACATGGGGGGTTTACGATATTTGGGGGTACCTCATTTGGGGTCCTTACTATAACGGGGTCCCACTATTTGGGGGGTCTATATTAGGGGCCCCCTATTTTCGTAAACCCCTATACGGGTACTTCTGAACGTTCTCATAACCACCCTACCGAACCTTCAAGAGGTCCCTCAAAGCTCCAACCCTAAACCCTAAACCCTGAACCCTAAACCCGACCAATTTTGTGCAGTGATGAGCAGGCTTGCCACATTCGGGACAACAGGCGTTTCGGCATCCACCGTCGACAGGTCACCTGGCAAAAGGGGCTTCGAGCGGTTTAGGGTTTAGGGTTTAGGGTTTAGGGTTTAGGGTTTAGGGTTTAGGGTTTAGGGTTTAGGGTTTAGGGTTTAGGGTTTAGGGTTTAGGGTCTAGGGTTTAGGGTTTAGGGTTTAGAGTTTAGGGTTTAGGGTTTAGGGTTTAGGGTTTAGGGTTTAGGGTTTAGGGCTTCGGCTTAGGGCTTCGGCTTAGGACTTAGGACTTAGGACTTAGGACTTCGAGTTGTTAGGGCGCAGTGTTCGGGGTTTGGCTCTGGGGCTAAACCACCCTAAACTCTGAAGTACCCTTGCCAAGAAGAACTTAAATCCATGGGCTCGAATATGTCTCACGAACCTTGTACAGCATGGGTTTACGATTAGAGTTCAAGGTTTGAAGGTTTCGAGCTTGGGTCGTTTGGGCCCATGATTCCCTCTAACAAGGATCCTACACAAGTAGGGTTACAAGGTACATCCCACAAAGATCTCCCCCCCATCCCAAGCCCCAAACCCTTAAAGCGGTGTATAGGGGATATAAGGGAGGGCTTCCCTAAGTCCTAAGCCCTAAACCCTAAACCCTAAACCCTCAGAGATACTCCTCCGTCCCCACCGGCCTATTGACGGCCGCGGCCTCGCGGCACAGGCGAGGAGCAGGGAGACGACCCCTGGCACGGAAAACAAAAAAAAGGGACAATAGCTTTAGGGTTGAGGGTTTAGGGTTTATTGCTTAGGATTCTGGGTTCCGGGTTGACTATTCAGGGCTAAGTAGGGCTTTAGGATCCGAAGAGGATCCGTTTGGCTCCCTCAAGAAAGGGCTAAACCCAAACCCTAAACCCTGAACCCAAAACCCAAACCCCAAGCCCCAAACCCGAAACCCTAAACCCTAAACCCTAAACCCTAAACCCTAACACTGGGGGCTCAGGGCTTGGCTGGGAGCTGAAGATGCGGTGTTCTGGTGCGCGGGGTGGGGGTATAAGATTTACGTAGGGTTTAGGGTTCAGGGTTTTAGGGTTTTAGGGCTTTAGGGCTTTAGGGCACTTGGGGTTTAGGGTTTAGGGTTTAGGGTTGAGGGTTCAGGGCTTTAGGGGCTCAGGGGTTCAGGATTCAAGGGCTTGCAAGGGAAGATTCGGGCTGCTTGATCACCCAGAGCCGACTGGGGAAACCTGAACTGTAGCCGGCGTTGATTGCTTCTCGGCTCAGGATGTGAAAGCTCCGAGGCCCCCCGAAACCCGAAACCCTAAACCCTAAACCCTAAACCCTAATCCTAAACCCGAAACTCCAAACCGTAAACCCTATGTACGGTTGGGGTGTAGGATTGTCAGGAACACCAACAACTCTTCGGCCCTTCACTTGGATCTGCATGGGTAGTCACAAGTACGCTGACAAGTAGGAGAAGTACACTCATGATCTCCTTCAAGGCAGTTCTAGCCCGACCTACAACTACCCATGAGCCTTCAAGTACACGACTACCTTAACCCCCTACACCCTAAACCCTAAACCCTAAACCCTAAACCCTAAACCTCAACCTGGGATCTTCTCCCAGACCACCCCCCCCTCCCAGCCTTCGCCAACTGCTACAATCGCCTCTGCCTTCAAAACTTCAGAGTCGTGCTCGTGAACCTGGGTCTCTTTCCCAAAGAGCCCAATACCTCTTAAATAAGGAATATACCTCAAATCATAATATAGGGATCCTTAATATGATTTGAGGTATATTCCTTATTTTAGGGGTATTGGGCTCTCTGGGTTGTGGATGTTTGGGGTATCGCAAGCTGCATTCGTAGCTCAGACCCGGGCGACTTCAAGGCAAAAAACCCGAAAGCCTAAGGGTCTAAGGGGCCCAAAAGGTTTGGACCTCCGCTTTCCAGCATCCAACCTAAACCATTTATCCACAACATCCCCCAGCAACCGGGGATTGCGGATAGAAACCCCCGAAGCCTTCGTGTAGATGGACCCTGATTGCAAGCTGAAACCCAACGCCGGCCTAAACTAAGCTCTGCTAGTTCTCTACGCGATGGCCTTTGAGTTAACTGAGTTCAGTTCCTCCCCTGAAACCACAGAAAGAAGGGTTTAGGGCTTCGGGTTCACCATCTAGGTATACCTCATGTGTTAAGATCCATCTTGCGGAAGGGTTGCTGATACTAGGGAAAGGGAATTATGGGCCACCTAAATGTGATTACCTTGTCATAACAGGGACCCAAGCGACAACCATAACATGTGGAGAACCTATCACATGGATACGAGGCCCCGGCAGTCACCAGTGGATGCAGAATCTGGTGCATGCCGAATTTATTGATGCGAATTGCGCCAACGGCCTCTCACATGCCAGGGCGTTTAGGGTTTAAGGGTTTAGGGTTAAGGGTTAAGGGTATAGGGTGTAGGGTGTAGGGTTTAGGGTTTAGGGTTTAGGGTTTCGGGTTTCGGGTTTCGGGTTGGGGTTTGGGGGTTTGGGGGTTTGGGGGTTTGGGGGTTTTGGGGGTTGGGGGGGGTTTGGGTTGTTGGGGGTGTTGGGGGTTTTGGGGTTTGGGGTTTGGGGTTGTGGGGTTTTGGGGTTTGGGGTTGGGGTTTGGGGCTTGGGGCTTGGGGGCTTTGGGGTTTGGGGTTTGGGGTTTGGGGTTTGGGGTTTGGGGTTTAGGGTTTAGGGTTTAGGGTTTGGGGTTTGGGGTTTGGGGTTTGGGGTTTGGGGTTTGGGTTTGGGGTTTGGGGTTTGGGGTTTGGGTTTGGGGTTTGGGGTTTGGGGTTTACATGCCGCTCAACGCTAGAAACCCTAAACGCGGACTACAAGCCCTGCAAGCCCCACAAGACTACACCTTCTAAACTCTAAACCCTACAAGCACTGTAAAGCGTCTAAAACGTCTAACCCTCCAAGCGCTTTACGCCCTCTGAACCCTAGAAACCTCCAAACCCTACAGCTCCAAACCCTATCCTAACCCCAAAACCCTAAAACCCCCAACCCCCTTCTTACAAACCCTCCTGGGGTTTGGGGTATTTTGGTCTTGCGGAAGAAAGGCGTCGGATGGAAGCTCAGAGGGGTGTTAAGGATTCGAGGTTGGGCTGTCCCCCCTTATGCTAACAGTCCTGAATAGGGATTATCATAGGGCGCACTATAATCCCTAGTAAGGACTCATAGTATAAGGGGGAACATCCCAAGTTTGAGGGTTTAAGGGTTGTGAGTCTGAGGGTTTAGGGGGTTTAGGGGGTTTAGGGGTTTTAGGAGTTTAAGGGCTTTAGGGGGTTTTAAGGGCGTTGAGGGTTTGAGGGGCTTTAGGGTTTGGGGGGTTGAGGGGTTTAAGCGGTTTCAGGACTTAAGGGTTTTAAGGTTTTCGGGTCTGGTGCGCCCTGCGAGATCCGGAGGGATTAATTTAGGGTTTAGGGTTACCCTAAACCCTAAACCCCTAAACCCCTAAACCCCTAAACCCCTAAACCCCTAAACCCCTAAACCCCTAAACCCCTAAACCCCTAAACCCCTAAACCCTAAACCCTAAACCCTAAAAGAGGCATCCAAGCCACCGAGTCTCCATGAGCAATCCCCATTAACACCCATCACCCCCTTTCTTTACACTCAGCAACACCTTGCTTGGTAGCCCAGTAACCTTTTTTGGGTTTTCTGCTTGCCTTACGGAGCCCCGAACCCAAAAAATGGTCGGGTAAAGGCTACCACTGGGCAACCAAAGATGAATATGAACCTACTTCATAGGCTCCAGGAACTACCCTTCTCATGGGTACTTGGGGGGGGGGGGGGGGGGGGGGGGGGGGGGGTTGTTTAGGGTTCAGAGGTTAGGGTTTAGGGCTTGGTTTTTTGTTTAGGGTTTGGGTTTAGGTTAGGGTTTTAGGTTTATGGTTAGGGTTTAGGGTTAGGGTTTAGGTTTAGGGTTTAGGGTTTAGTTGAGGTTGAGGGTTGAGGGGTGAGGGTTGAGGGTTGAGGGTTGAGGGTTGAGGGTTGAGGGTTTAGGGTTTAGGGTTTAGGGTTTAGGGTTTAGGGTTTAGGGTTTAGGGTTTACCGGCTGGGTCCACCCTCAGGCCTGAACCTAAGCCGAAGGCTTAAGTTCCTAAAAAGCCCAAGATGCCTCCATTGACCACCTTCTCCGGAATT